GTCCATCACAGATGTCCATCAGAATGTGTAAGATTATTTGTCTTGTTAGCCTGAAAATTTGACTCAAATTCAGTCAAAAATTTTCTGTCAATGGAGTAAGAAAAATTTACTTGGTAAGATTCTTGAAATACTTAATTTGACTCAGTTTTTTTCTCGTTTCAAGAGTCCTACCAAGTAAAATTTTCTTACTCCATTGACAGAAAATTTTTGACTGAATTTGAGTCAAATTTTCAGGCTAACAAGACAAATAATCTTACACATTCTGGTGGCCCTGTGATGGACTTGCGACCTGTCCAGGGTGTACCCCGCCCCTCGCACTGTGACTGCTGGATATGGGCACCAGTGACCCACGCAACCCTGAAAAGGAAGAAGCGTGTACAGAAAATGGATGGATGGATGAATGCTATGTGGAATGTTGACTTAAAAATGTTTAAATCCATGCATTTCATACTAATTAAATTAATCCATATACGTTATTGTTAAAAGAAGAATTAAAAAGCTGATATTGTTAAAATAGCGTGCATTAAATTTCACCGGAAGTGCTTTTATTTTGAAGGGTCACAAAAGTAGTAATTTTTAAGCTGTGGTCAGAGAAAAAAGGGAAATGTTTGTAGCCTTGTTCAGTGTGTTTGCAGTAAAATGTATAAACTGAGAACAGCAAGATCCAGATTGAACAACATATTAATGTGTGACACCTTTGCCTAAATGTTTTGCATTAATTGTGTTTGTTTCTTTGATATTCTTTTAAAGAATGATGGACCTTTTATTCTCATTTAGTAAGTGAATGTGTTCAGTTACAGGAGCTGGGCATGAATCTGTCTAATGTGTCATTATTATTTTTCGTGTGTGTGTGTGTGTGTGTGTGTGTGTGTTTGACGGCAGATGGAAAATGGCATCCTGCTGCCAACGCTCCAGTCGGCTCTGCCTTTTCTCGATCTCCACGGGACGCCCCGGCTTGAATTCCACCAGTCTGTTTTTGACGAACTTCGTGAAAAACTTATGGAAAGAGTTGCAACCATCGCAGAGGGAAAAGAAGAAGACAGGTGTGTGGCTGCTTCTGTTTGACTGAAGGATGTTTTCTAAGTAAATTACACTTAAAACTGTTGTTTGTGTTTTAACTTTTTAATGGTTTAGGTACACAAAGCTTGAAGAGCTGCTGGAGAAGAGTTTTCCTCTTGTTAAAATGACTTCCATTCAGCCAGTGGTGATGCAGGTGCTGAAGCATCTACCTAAGGTAAGTTTTGATATCACGATATGGCAATAAAACTGGGGCTGCACCTAACAATTATTTTGACAATCGATTAATCTGATTAGTTGATTAGTCGCTGTTATTTCTGTCACAAGGTCCATCTATGCTTCCTGTGAGAACAGCTCCTGTTCCAGCTGCACTGTACCTCTCACCTCATCTGATTAACCTTAAAGATGACCTATAAAACTTGAGTTTAACAGCTTATTCACCTGTTTTTCCAACAGTAATACACCTGATTATAAAAAAAATGAAATTAAATACAAATTAAACTGCAAGTTGTCTTTTAAACAAACAACTAATGTACAAATGACTCCAAACAGCAGCCTCTCTCCAGCAGGAGGGGCTGTTAACCTGTCCTGCAGGCTGTAGACATAGCTTTGCAAGTCCAAAATAAACTAAAGAATAACTCTGGTTAAGGTGACAATAACAAAGACCCATTTTTGACGCAATCTCAGTCGGCTTCCAAACAAACTCTGGTGCGGTTCTCTTCTGGTGTGAATCCAGACCGGCCTCGAACAGAACCAACTACAGGAAACATGCTGCTCTTTAGACTTCACAAGCCACCTTTGCTAAGCAACAATAACGCTTTAGTGTTGCTAACGCTACAAACAATGAACTGTTGTGGGTCAGGGAACGAGGGGCAATTCGACTCTTTTGGGTTGCGGCACACATTTGCCAAAGTTGTCTCAAAATTAGAAGCATATTCTAGTGAAACCAAGATTAAATGAGCTGCTCTTGTGCCCTGTCCTGCCCCTTTCATTTCTGTCCAAGTGGAGCAATGACCGTCACCTGCATGGCTTTGTTTATAAATCATAGTCTGCTTGCTAAGAAGCCCAGTGTGAAAGCCAGAGGTGGAAAAAGTACTAAAATGACATACTCATACAGTTACACAGTGAAAATTTTACTCAGTTATAAGTAAAAAAGTACCTGTGTAAAAAGTTTTTTTTTTTTGATCAAAGTCTTTTTATTATTATTTTTAACACAAACTACAGAAAAAAAAAAACTAAAAGAACACAAAACAAAACACACACACCCAAAATCCCTCCCATCCCTCCCCTCCTATACCGGATCTACTGCAACAACATAAAACCATCTTGTATTCATAAATCAGTGATATAATGAACAGGTTTGTGTACATGAAACAATATTTGACCTTTACACAAAGTTATCTGCTGAAATTTTTTCTACTCAAGCTATAAATGGCTGCCAGATATCAAAGAATTTGTTTACAGATCCCCTAACAGTATATCTAATCTTCTCTAAATGRATRYARGACATAACTTCTCTTAACCAATGACCATATACTGGAGGATGTGGATCCTTCCATCGAAGAAGAATAAGTCTTCTAGCCAGTAGAGAGCAGAAAGCTAACACCGTCCTCTGATGTTCACTGAGGGAAGCCTCTGCTGGAGCCACCCCAGAGAGATGAATGGTGATGGATGAACAGTTTGTCCAAATAGTCCTGAAAAGGTGTCAAAGATGCCTTGCCAATATCCATGTAGCTTTGGACAGGACCAGAATGTGTGGCAGGAGATTGTCCGCAGTGATCACACGATGGATCCAAGTCCTTTTTGTATTTGCTTTGTGTAAAAAGTTAATCATTAAAAATTGACTTTGAGTAAAAGTTTTTGTCGCAGACCTTGAGACCCTCGCATAGATGGCTGTGACAGAAATCATATACTGCATGGGGAACGTGGGGCATCTGAAATGAATGGCAAAGTATACACAAATATCACAGATAAAAACGCTCATATGTTCTTTTGCATGAGTCCAATTCCCTCCAAACCTGCACCGTACATTCTCTCTCAGACTTCATTGCATCATATCAGAGAGGTGCCACACAACAAGAGAGCAAACTTTTTTAGGAGCATCGTATGACCATGGGACCAAAAACAAGGTGAAAGAGGCTGTTGAGCAACGTACTCAAATTGCACAAAAATCCACTTTTCTGACATCAGTCTGCCTTTAGGAGCATCTTACATGGGCAGGACCAGACGGGGTGATAGAGGGCCTCCCTGTGTGCAAAATACTCAAATATGCTTCCTTAAGGACTTTTTCCAACCCAGGCGGACTACATTACCCATAAGCCCCCTCTGTGACATCAATATTTTGTAATAAATATAAATGTATTTTTGGAAAGATAACATTGATAACATACTGTAAAAAAGATTTCACATTGCTGAGATGAACAGTTGTTGAAATATTCACATGTAAATAAACAGGAAGTTATGTCAAAGGGGAATGTCTGAATGCAAACAGAGCGTTGCTACTATGGCCAACAACACAGACTGTAGAGAAGAATCTGATGTTTCTTTAAATTATTTTAATCACTATCATGGATAGATGAGAAAGAGTCAAGAGTTCAAATATTGTTGTTTAAATAAACAAAAACCAGGGAGTTTTCTTTCACAAAGAGTTCCCCTTTGATGTCACTTCCTGTTTCACTTTAGCTGAGGCAAATTCAAAAGGAAATTTGCTAAATATGTGACATAATGGGTAAAATCACGTATATCATGCCAGGTTTCTTAAATATAAATATATTTTCTTTGACCTTTTTTTATTTCATGGATATGCATGTCACAGGCACTTTAATGTCAAATCTGTTACCCCAGTGGAAAATTTAAATGTCAAATTTAGGCTTTATGTCACATGCTAATTTACTAAAGTACCTTGACTAAAGCTGAAGACAGAAAAAAGAAAAGAACTCCTCTTTATCTTACGTTTTTCTGCAGGTGCCAGAGAAGAAGCTGAAGATGGTAATGTCTGACAAAGAACTGTACAAGGTGTGTGCCGTTGAGGTGAAACGGCAGATCTGGCAGGACAACCAGGCTCTGTTTGGGGATGAGGTGTCGCCCCTTCTCAAACAGTACATAGTGGAGAAGGAGGCAGCTCTGTTCAGCAGCGACCTGTCTATCCTGCACAACTTCTTTAGTTCTTCACCAAAAACACGACGCCAAGGAGAGGTMAGTCAGCGTCTTCACATCAGCTCTCCTCATCAGTGTCACCTAGATTTTCACCTGTAGTTCAGTTGAACTGACAGCTGTTGGTTATAAAAGAGTTCAGACTTTGGAATAAACAACTTTAAAGTCAACTTTTGGCAGCTTTTCCTCAATTTCTCTTTGTAGGTTTAATTCTGTTATTTCAGCCAATTTGTCTCTTTTAAATCAACATTTATTTTTATAGCTTAATGAAAACAGCCTTCTTAAATCAACAATAAAAAATCAAATACATTGCACCCACCCATATCACCCACTGCCATTCATGCCAGAGGTTTAAATTAAAATAATTTTATGTTGAAAGGGGAGTTATGACTGTTTTTGGATTGGCTGAAGTTCAGTAGCTGTGGCAGCCATCTTGATTTGGGTTTACCTTCTGAGATTTCATTAAAATCTGTCCAGTGGTTCATTAGATATTTTGCTAACAGACAGTGTTGATTTTTCTTTTTTTTCGTTTGGACTTCCATTAGTTGCAGTTCCCTGCATCTACTCTTCCTGGGGTCCACACATTGAACACAATCAACAAAAAATACATAACATACATAAAACACATAAATTCAAAATAAAAGTAACTACACAATAAACGAATGTAAAATACAGGCCACAGATCAAAAATAAATTATACTATAATGAAAAATATTTTACAAAAGTACATTCACTTCAAAATGTCAAGCACATACAGTGGCTTGCAGAAGTATTCATACCCCTGGAACCTTTCTATATTTGGTCACATTACATCCACTAATATGAATACATTTCATTGGCATTTACTATAAAAGAACAACACAAAGTGGTACGCAATTGTAAATTGTTAATTATACATGATTTAAAACATTTTTTACAAATAAAGAAGTGAAAAGTGTGGTGTGCAAACCCCCCCTGAGTCAATACTTTAAAGAACCAAGTTTTGTCAAGTCTTTTTAAAGTATGTCTCCAGCAGCTTTAAACATGTAGTGACTGAATTTTTGCCCATTCTTTGCTCAACAGCTCAAGCTCAGTCAGATTGGATGGAGAGTGTTTGTGAAAAGCTGTTTTTTAAATCTTTCCACAAATTTTCAATTGGGTTTAGGTCTGGACTTCTAATTCTAACACATGAATATATTTTGTTTTAAACCATTCCATTGTAGCTTTGGCTTTATGTTTAGGGTTGTCCTGCTGGAAGGTGAGCTTCTGTCCCAGTCTCAAGTCTTTTGCAGACTCCAACTTTTTTTTTTCCAAGACTGCCCTGTATTTGACTCCATCCATCTTCCCTGTCCCTGCTGAAGAGAAGCACCCCAGAGCATGATGCCTCCATCACCATATTAGACAGTGGGGATGGTGTGTTCAGAGTGATGGGCAGTGTTAATTAATAACTAAGTATTAAGTACTAAAACTAAGTATTGAGTACTGTACATGCTCATATTTTTCAGTAGGCCAACATTTCTAAAAAAACCTTCTTTTGTATTGGTCTTAAGTAATATTCAAATTTTCTGAGATACTGAGTTTGAGGTTTTCATTAGTTGTCAGTTATAATCTTCAAAATTAAAAGAAATAACATTTGAAATATATCATTCTGTGTGTAATGAATGAATATAATATATACAAGTTTCACTTTATGAATGGAATTACTAAAAAATCTATTTTTTTTGTGATGTTCTAATTTTATGACCAGCTCCATGACCAGTATACTTCAAATTTAGACCTAAATCAAAGGATAGTCCCAGTTCCACTAAACTTTTCCTGGTTGAAGAGTTATAGTTGTGTTACCATTTCTACTTTTCCGTACTGCAGGTGGTGTCAAAGCTGACCCAGATGATTGGGAAAAATGTGAAGCTGTACGACATGGTCCTGCAGTTTTTACGAACGCTCTTTCTTCGAACACGAAACATCCACTACTGCACACTGAGAGCAGAGCTGTTAATGTCTYTACACGACCTGGACATCAGTGAGATCTGCTCGGTAGACCCCTGCCACAAGGTGAGCTCAGGCTCTCTTCAGATCATACAGTCCTCATGCTTTAGGTCAGTGGTGAGGTATTTTCTGGATTTTTGCTTTTACAGTTCACTTGGTGTTTGGATGCCTGCATTCGTGAGAAGTTTGTGGACGGCAAGCGAGCTAGAGAGCTGCAAGGTTTTCTGGATGGTGTGAAAAAAGGACATGAGCAGGTCCTCGGGTAACAAAGGAGCTGCTAGTTTAAGTTAATCCACAACAAATCAGAGTTTCAAGGTGTGGATTAATCATTTGAGGGTTTCTGTGCTTCCCAGAGACTTGTCTATGATCCTGTGTGACCCGTTTGCCTGCAATACTTTGGTGCTGAGTATTATAAGGAACCTACAAGAACTGCTAAGTCAAGATGCTTTGCCAAGAGTAAGTATTGGCTTTATACAAAAAAAATCTTATTGTTCATAGAGAATGCAAAATATTTTATTTAACAACTGAAGATTTTCTTTTTGTAAAACATATTTTAAAGAATAAACTAAAATGAGAAATACATATATCCCTCTGTCTAAACAACTATCAGATAATCACCATGTAATTTACATTTCTAAATGATTTTAAAAATCAGTTTTCCTATGAAAAGAAGTGTGCATGAAATGCACCATGCTTTTGATCGAAGCCTGTTATCTAATTTATTCATATAGCGTGTTTAACAGCTGCCATTGGTAAAAGTGCTACATATAAAATAATGAACAGAAACACATTACTGAACACAATAAAGCTAAAAACTAAAATATAAACCAATTAAAACATAGTTATATATACATTTGAAAACTAAATGATGTAAAATAGTCACATATCTTGCTGTATTAATAGCCACTGAATTGAAATGTGTTTTAAGATGTGAAGGTTTGCTTGTGTAGTGTTAGTGAAAGATGACACACAGTTTTGGGTTACAATCACAAAGCTACAAACACCAGGTTTTGCTTGAATGCTAATGGAGAAATAGTAGAGAGAAGATGAGAAATTGGCCAAAAGTGCCAGCACTTGAGAATAGATAACGAATTAGCATGAAATTTTTAGAGCCTATGGGTGGGCTGGGCTTTGAAGTAGGGGTCCCTGCAGTCCATAGTGGGAGTTTCAGAGGTAAGCTCTTTTCCTTCATCTCACTGCCTTGGTGTGCCTTCTGAATGGTCAGAGACAGCCAGAACATGTCATGTGAATGTGCCCTGTGTGCTTCAGGAGGGGGTTTTGTGTGTTTGTCTCACTGTATTTTGGAGGAGTCAGAACAGTTGTGTTTGTGTGTAAACAGGACAGCCCAGACCTGCTGCTGCTGCTGAGGATGCTGTCTCTGGGTCAGGGAGCCTGGGACATGATTGACAGCCAGGTCTTCAAAGAGCCTCGTTTGGTGCGTACACCCTCACAACTTCAATGTTTCTGTTCATTCTTGGTGTAATGGTGTTTGTATTCATTCTGAATTGTCACAGTACAGACATTTGGCACTGGTACATAGGAAATTTGCAAGACACTGCTCCTACCTGGAATAGGGCGCACATTTTGTTTAACTGCATTTTGCTAACAGCCACAACAGATACAAATCAAAATATAAAGGACACTACACCAAACAAAGCATGACTAGCTGGTTAAACGTAAAACACAGACACTTACAGAGCTGCCTGTTTGTTTTTTAAATCAGCTGTTTGGAAATGTCCAGACTAGCGAATACCACAGGGATAGCGTGGCAAAAAATCAGATTGAGGTTGGGGGACTTTTAAAATATATTTACCAAAAGGCTCTTTGGAAGATGGGACCAATAATAATAATAATAATTATTATTATTATTATAATTACTCTAAGCAACTTTGTCACCAGCAAACAAGCAGATTTAGCCCTACCAAGTCGATGTCCTGCTGTGAAGCGGTACCAGAGGTTCACTTTGACAAAGACAATAGTTTGCAGACGAACAAAGCGGGAGGGGCGAAATGGAGAATGAGTGTAATCATGCTTTAAACCTTCTGAGACCATGGTTTCTATGTTAGTCTAACCAATCACAGAACCTGCGTGTAATAAAGAGGAGGCAACTTCAATGGCCTTTAACCAATGACAGCGTGGGGTTTCATTTTACTAACTCCAGACAAAGAAAAGGGCGTAATTAAATTGAAAAGCTTTCTTCTCATAGTTTTTTTTAATCCTCTCTTGCCTCAAAAAAGTAAGATAGCTAGATTAAAACCACAATAAACCTTAGGTGAATGTTACAAACTTAGGTTTAATTTTTTGCTTTAACCTGATATAACAGTAAACTGCTTATCAAAGAAAATTGTCACGCCACACAGTTAAATCAAACATACTTGAAGCCACCTTAAATTGCTAAATATACATAAATAAGAAGTATTATTAGATAAAAAGAAATAGTTGGTAATCTTGAATTAAAGAAACATCTTTGGTTAAGAAGACATGAGATTAGAGACTTCCTGATGGTGGAGAAGTGAGCCTCAGCATAATTTCTAAGCTCCCAGATGGTCTAGCCATCCCTTGGCAATTAGCTTAATAAAACACTGTTACCAGTACTTACAGTAGTATGTTAGGGGGTAACAAGAGCAAGATGAGAGGAAATAAGCAAGAAAATGAAAAAGAAACAGCTTTTTTCATTGAAAGAAGTTGACAAGGATAGCAAGCTGAATGCTTGCTATCACAAGGCTATGGACGTTAACAGTGGTGGGCAGCGCTGCTTCAAAAGTTAGCTGCACAAATTCTAAAGCGCCAACTAAATTATTTAGGTCTGCAAGTTCTAAAGCGCATATGCTCACTTTACTTTCACAGCATTGCACGTCATCGCAGTCTGAACTAAAGTTCATTCCTGAATAAACACTGTTGCTGATAAATTATCAGACCACGGCCTTTTGGGATGATGGTGAAAATAAAAATTTCCCATACAATATAAATATGGAGTTTTTTAGTTATAATTTAAGCTTAAACTGAACGTGTTATCTGTTTTGTTTTTTTTATGTCGGCATGAAAATAAGCAAAATCGTGGTTTCAGTTTTACACAAAGGTTAATGTTTTTTTATTTGGCGTTCTCTTCATTCTTTCTTAGGATTTGGAGGTGGTGACCCGCTTCCTGCCTTCAATGATGTCTGTTGTTGTTGATGATCATATCTTCACTGTAGAGCAGAAGCTTCCAAATGAAGAAAAGAGCTCTCAGTCATATCCCACCGCCCTCCCAGATGCATTCACCAGGTAAAACATGAAGGGCAGAGCTGGTTCAAATATAAACACATTTCCTTGTACCATTTTGTTTGTATCCTGGTGAAGATTCTCAGTCATCCAAATCATGATCAATCCAAAAAAATAGGTTAAAAAAATAATTATTATAATTTGAGTTTTATGTTGTAGCAGAAGATGTTTCTCTTCCCATCCAGTAGGCTCTCATTTCAAAATATCTGCAGTGTGTGGACTTCCAAGCTTTACGGACCTGAAGGAGAGGCCTCGTTAGTGAATAAGAGTGAAAGAGAAGGAATCAAGCCTAATGCTATTTATTGATATTTTTTAAAAGTTGAAATCTGAGTCCTCCTTTTCTGTTTATTTTTTTTCTCATTTGTCATACCATATTTTTAGACCATAAGTCACACTTTAGGTATAGTTTGGCTGGTCCTGCTACTTATAGTCAGGTGTGACTTATATGTTTTTTTTCCTCTTTATGATGCATTTTTCAACTGTTTAAATGTTAGGTCATACTGACTGACATGAACTAAGGAGTAAATATTACAATCTGCAGCCATSAGAGGGTGCTCTAGGCTTGTGACAACTACGGTACATGTTGATTCTGTACCAGTTAAAAAATGTGCAGTTTAAAATAGTCAAGGAGCCGAATGGTTGTTTGTCTCTGTGTGTGTCCCTGTGGTTGGACAAAGATGAACAAGGCAGTGGTCTGAACCTCCAAGGGGTGCATCTGTATGCATCCTTAACATTAACATAACAGATGAAGGGTTTTATGATCCTGGGTGGCACAGTTAAACGGTGTGAATATGAGAAGTGTGTTGGAGAGTGAGACATGGTTAAAGCTGCCACACAGGAAGATGAATGAGTCTGGATAACTTAGTCTTGTAATGGTAGTGTGTACTGTACCATAAGCCATGTCTACATGTTATGATGGAGGAATGTAAACAACAATAGCAGTCACTGCAGAGGATTCTCTAGGCAGGTAATCTTGTCTGATGCTCACTGCCAGGAGTTCAGTATCTTTGGTACAGACTTGTTCTCGTACCGTAGCATGGCTAGAGCTGTTAAGGAAAATAACAAATCCTCCTCTTCTCTGCTTAACAGACTCTTTGGTGTCCCTATCTGCTTGGATCGTTCTGAAGCCACTTATAGTTGAGAGAGTCTGAAATATCATCATTAAATCAAGTTTCACAAAAACACAAACTGTCTCAAACATTTCTGGCTTCTGACTACGGACTCCAGCTCAGCCACCTTGTTGTTCAGGAAGTGGGCATTTCCCATAACCACTGATGGAAGAGTTAGTCTAAAAGTCCAGTAGTGTGTTTGAATGTGACTGACACATGACCTTAGAGAAACCTGAGGTGTATCTTTTCTGTAAAAAATAAATAAATAAATAAAATGTAATTACTCCTAAAATACATGAAAATTTCTCAACATAACTGGTCAGATTTTTGTAACTCATCTACTTCTTGCTACTTTTCTAAATGAGGAGAATTTCTTGCTGTTTCTGTGCAGTAACGTTTTTAAATCTTTAACATCTTCTCTTAAATGGCTTTACTTCATTATTGTCTCATCCTAGGTACCTGCAGAACAATCGAGTGGCCTGTGAAATGGGGCTTTACTATGTGCTACACATAGCCAAACTGAGAAACAAGAATGCCTTGCAGAGGTTACTTCCTGCTTTAGGTAAGAGTCATTCCTCTGATGTGAWATTCAGATTCTAAAGTATCACAAAGAACAAGAAGCACAGAGACAGACTCCTTCAGTGTGTGAATGACAGAGGCAGTAACCAGAAGCAAAGAATATGTGGAGTTAAATAGCCATTATTTTTACTCACCAAATATCCAACAACTTACTACCAGCAATGTGGACCAAGCTCTGACACCAGTTGTACAGGGGCCTAACAACCTGTATCAATGGGCCTGGTACCCCATACTCAGTCGAACACCTTCTCCAAGTCCACAAAACACATGTAGACTGGTTGGGCAAACTCCCATGCACCCTCCAGGACCCTGCTTAGGGTGTAGAGCTGGTCCACTGTTCCAGGACCAAAACCACACTGCTCTTCCTGAATCTGAGATTCGACTATCTGATGGACCCTCCTCTCCAGAACCCCTGAATAGACCTTACCAGAAGTGTGATCACCCTGTAGTTGGAACACACTCTGCCGTCCCCCTTTTTAAATATGGGGACCACCACCCCGGTCTGCCAATCCAGGGAAACCAGGGGTCATGTCATCCAACACAACCCCACAACATCCAGAGCCTTAAAGGGATCCTGATTAGTTGTAACGTTAGAATTTATAAGATAAACATATACTTTAGCTGTAAAATAAAGACTGTAAAAATACTGTAGGATGTTCAGTTTTTATTTTTTTTAAAATATATTTTAA